GATGTACCACAGTCTGTCGATTTCACCAGTTGAAGGACTTTGGGTTGTTTACAAGTTTGGAAATAAGGAAGAAAGTCACTGTAAACATTTGCCTAGAGGTTTTGGGGAAGCCTGTATTTTCCTTTCTTTTGGGTAAATATGTAGGAGTAGGATTGTGGTTTGTATGCTAAATGCCTTATTTAACTTCATGAGAAACTGCCAAACCGTTTTCTAAAGTGGCTATACCATGTTGCATTCCCTCCAGCACTGTTTGAGAGGTTCAGTTTGCTTGCATTCATCCTCCTCAGCACTTTTTACTGGCAGTTTTTTGTCTGTTTAGTGTCCGTTCCGACACGCATGTGATGGTGGCTCATTCTGATTTTAATTCGTATTTCCCTAATGACTAATGATGTTGAACATCTTTCATGTGCTTGTTTGCCATTTGTAGATCATCTCTGGTGAAACGTTTGTTAAAATCTTTTGATTATTTTTTATATGGGTTTGTTGTTACTGAGTTTTGAGAGTTCTTTATATATTGTGGATCTAAGTCCTTTATCAGATATGTATTTTGCACATATTTTTCCCCAGTCTCTGGATTGTCTTTTTGTTTTCTGGCCAATGTTTTTAGAAGGGTAGGCATGTTGAATTTTGATGAAGTCACTAACTGTTTTTAAAAATCCATTTCCATGTGAAGGATATGATAGACTTAATAATCTCAAATTGTGAGCCACTACCAAATTTGAATTCCACTTTTAACTTGGCAAAAAATTTTGTGTTCTGGCTTGTAAGGCATCACTTTTTTGGACTCTTCATTTCGTTTTCACTCATGGTACCAATGCTAGGGCTGCCCTCCTTATTTTTTAACCAAGGAAACAAAGTTTTATATAAGTACTCCACATCAACTATTGCCATGTGATGATGGTCAACAAAGCTGCACTGGAAGGACAGTGCCAGGTTGTCAGCCAGGCTCACTCACTGGCCAAGTGGCTCTCACATGTCAGCATTGTAGGGTGTGATGCAAGTTTGTGTCTGAGCAAAATTACAAATCGCCACATTTCCACTAAGATGTAAGCTCCTTGAGATCAGGGACTCTTTCTGGTTTTGTTTCTTAGTGTTCACCGGTTTACTGAAGAGTATGATACAGGATATGAATCAACAGCCAGATGGAAGAGATGCATAGGGTGGGGTGTGGGGGAAGGTGCCGAGCTTCCGTGTGCTTTCCAGGCACGCCGCTCTACCCACATCTCCACATGTTCACTGATCCGGAAGCTCCAGGCACCCTTTCTGTTTTGTTGCTAGTCCTAGAATAGGGCTTAGTGCTCAGAAAACAATAGATGAAGGGTACCTGGGTGGCTCAGTAGATTGAGCGTCCTACTCTTGGTTTCACCTCAGGTCATGATCTTGTTGTTTGTGGGATCAAACCCTGCGTCTGGCTCCATGCTGATGGTGCGGAGCCTGCTTGGGGTTCTCTCTCTCCCTCTCTCTCTGCCCCTCCCCTGCTTGAGTGTATGCCTGTGTGTGCTCTCTCTCTCAAAATAAATCAATAAAACTTAAAAGGAAAATAATAATTGGTTGCTTTTCAGTGGACTTCATGAAAAGCGATACAAGATGTCCCAAAGCAACCAAGGCTGTGACTCTCAGGGTGCAGCTGAGGACCGAGGCCAACTCTGTGAATGGCAAAGCCTGAGTGCCAGGGGACAGCCCAGAGCCCTGTCTGGGGGACCTCCTGTGCCACAAATCTGTTTCTAGGAGTGTGGAGAGAGATTTCCAGGGCCCTGGCCCTGACTGGATTTCTTAGGGAGGCTTCAGTTTCTGAGAGAGGAACTTAGGTGAGGACATGCCAGCATTCTGAGAAGGGCATGCTGTGAAGAAAACTCAGTCTCTGTAACTAGGTGACTTGAAACTACTTGTGGAGTTTTGCTGTTCCATCTTCTTCTGACTACCACAGGAGCTGCATAACCCCCCACCCGACCCCTGCTGCCCACCCGCCCTCAAAATGGTGGCAGGATCGGGCCAAAGTTGAAGTCACTGGCAGAGCTGAAGCCAGGCTGCCTGTGGTGGAGCCCAGCTCATCTCCACCCCATCGTCCCGCGTTTGTCCTGATACTATTTTGGCTTATGGTGTGTGGTTTCAACATTTGGGCCAGCTTTTAATCACGACACAGTCCCATCTTGTAAGGGCTGAGTGAATCCTCCAAGAGAGGAAACTGCTGAAGGGAAGATTTTCCTTAAATGTTGAGACCTTCTCTTCTTTGAGACTCTTCTATTAAAGGTAATTCAAGGTGAAAAAGGTAGTAACTCCCGATTTGGGGGAAGAGAAGAATCTGGGCAATGGGTGTGTGTGTGTGTGTGTGTGTGTGTGTGCGTGCGGTGTGTGTGTGGAGCCTGGTGCGTGTGTGCGTGTGTGGGGTTGAGGGAGGGGGAAGCTGGCAAAGGCAACATGTGCCGAAGGAGAGGAAGGGTGCGCATGTGTGCGTGGCTGGGAGGGTGGGGTTTGTGTGTGCGTGCGCGCTGAGGGATATGGTTAGCTGCGTGTGTGTGTGTGCACAGGTGCGTGCAGTGCGTGTGTGTGTGTGTGTGTGTGTGTGTGTGTGTGTGTGTAAGAGTGGGAGGGCTGAAGCAGAAGAGAAAGAGTCATGGTCAGGAGGCAGCAGACCACCACCATCCCAGCTGCCCCTGGTTTCCAGGCTAATCCCAGCCCTGCTGCAGCCCATCATTCAGGGCAAGCTGCTATCATTAGTGGTTAAACATTTCTGAAACTATTCTCTCTCAACTCTGACCGCATGCCCTTTCGGGGAAGGGAGGGAGGAGTCAGGGGGAGTTAGTGGGGCCCACCCTGCTGTCATGCCCAGCTGCTCTGCAGAGGGACAAGGAGCCCTCGACTGGACGTGCTCATGGGCTTTTTGGAGCCTGTGTGTGTGACAGGACTGAGGTCGCATTTTCTATGCTGCCCACACAGCCTGCTGCCTCTTGAGTGATACAGCCCTCTGCTGTGGGCTGTGAGTACCAAATCAGAGAGGATTTTTTGTCCTTTTAAGGGGATTCTTGGCTGAAATAAACTTTCTATTAACCAGTTTTATCTCTCTTGAGCTCTCTGTCTTAAACACATATACACACATTTGCCAGTGGCTGAAGACCCGTCTTTCTCTTTGGAACTAATCTGTACTCCTCCTGCTTTCGATGAGGGCTTGTGGTAAAATGTTCAGTACTAACATTTCTTCCCGTGATGTGGGAGTTTGAAATATTTTTCTTGACTGAGGTGTGGTTGACAGCTTTTGATTTATGAAATTAGCTCAGGGAAAAATAAGATGGAAAAAGAGAGTCCAAATTAAATCCTTATTTCCATAGCTCATTGGTGCCCTCTCTATCCATTTTTAACTGTCGTGCAGTCTTTAGGTATGAACTCCAAGGTTTGCAAGGTTTCTTCTTTCCTTCCTTCCTCCCTTCTATCCTTCCTTCCTTCCTTCCTTCCTTCCTTCCTTGCTTCTAGTTTTGGTCCAAGAAAAGACTTTTTTCCTTACTCAAAGGTGTACAAACTCAATGAAGAAAACTAGAAAAGCATAAAAGGAAAAGCTAAGGGAATTCGTGTGCACAACAAAGATAATCACTATTAATACATATTTTTTAATCACTATTGATATTTTGGTTTATTGGAAAAAGTCTGTTTCTTGTGCTAGAGTAGGTGGTTGGTGGGGGCACCTGTCCTCCCCCCCCCCCCGAGAACCTACAGGTTTGTTGTGCTGCAGGCTTGTTCCAACACGCTGATTGAGGGGGGGTCTCACCAGCAGAGGTGTTGTGGTAGGTATGGAGCCTTCCAGCCCAGCAGGGGACCTTTCCAGTAGAGCTCTTTAGCTTTCTATTGGCCGAGTGATCCATGAAAGAATAGCCTGGGAGGGATTCAGTTCAAGTCCAGGCTTCCCACCCCCAGCCTCCAACCAAAGAGCATGGGCTCTTGACCTTAGACTGCTTGGATTTGAGTCTTGCTCCATTGCTTACTTTCTCTGTCTTTTTTCTTATCTGTAACATGGGCATAATAATAGTAAGCTCCTTCCAGGGTTGCCCTGTTAAATGAGATAAAATACGTGAAGTGCACAGTGTATCATGGATATCTGTTACATAATGTTCAGGCTCAGCACATATTATATACTTGTATAGTAATTATTCCTTTCATTGTTGATAGTAACCTCACTGCCCCATGTCACATGAGATAGATTGGTCTTTCTTCAATGGATAATATTTAAATGCTCTCACTGCTGAAAACTGGTAGATAATGACTAAGTAGTAGAATAGTCTCCTTTGACAAAACAGCTGGACTGAAGGGCAGGGAGGCTTAGATATTTTCACTAGTGAACAAAGTCAGGCTACAGCGGGATCGTGAGAATACATACTGCCTACTATCTGTTGTTCTGAAGTTGTCAGATAGATTCTCTGCTCCTGGATCCCACCGTTTTCCTTGTGATATAGATCCCTTTATGCATTGTTCCTCATTTGTTGGGATGGACCACGGAGTCATCTTTTCTACATAAAACATGTCAACCTGTGCATTGGCTGAGGCTGTCTGGTGCCTCTTGACTTCCTTTCCCAAGGGCAGTATGTTTCTAGCTATAGAGAAAATGGATTTGGATAAATTTTGGGCTCTTTTTGCCTAAGGGGCGAAATATGTCATCTGTAGCCTGTCCAGTGATTCTTGTTTATTTCTTACATTTGAGCCCAATAAAAATAATGTGATGGTCACAGGATATTTTGCCAGTTATTTCAGATGTGGGGGCAATTCACTCTGGATTTGTTTACTTCAAGTGGAAAAGTTTACCCAAAGTTGCCTTCTGGGTTATTACCAAGAAGGAACCTTACCTGGGTCTCTCTGTTTGGAGCCAGCTTCTGTTGAGTCAAAGACCAGAGGGGCTATTAAAGGTCTTATTTCCAATAAATAGTGAGAGAGGGAATGCGGTGACTTAGATGGGACATACTGCTGTCTTTTTCACAGTGACTTATGTCTGTCTGCTTTATACTTTGAATTTCCAGGACGCACAGACATTCAGGTGGTTCAGCCAGAACAACCACAGCAACCGGCGAGCAAAGCCCCGGTACTAGCAACCGGCACCGCCAGCCCGTCAAGAACCCAACCCACAATGGCTTGGCCAATGGCACAGGTGAGTGACAACACAAAATACCAGCCTGAATGAAAGCAGTGGCTTCTAACTTGTGCTCACATGGAGCCAGGACTCTGCTGTGTCAGGATGTAGGGTGGGAGAGAGAAGACTCCGATACTGAAATGAACTTGAACCCATCACCCTTTCCATTGGCCCATCTTCTTTTGTCTCTGGCCAAGGTTATTCTCCATATGACTTCATACACTCTTCTAAAATATTACTTTGCACAAAAAATAAAGAGTATTGATTTTTTAAATTCATTTCTTATCAGTATTGGGGGCAAGGGGTATCTTATTTCTATATGATACATTTTTTATTCCCTTAATTTAAGGAAATGATCAGACTAGGGAGAAAGAAGACTAAGTATTGTTGCTCCGAGCTGGGTTTGAGAAGATGGCGGCACCGTTGGATCGGTTGGGATGCTGACTAGGGGCAGAGCCAGGTGCCATGGGATTGGGGTGGGGAGGGCACATTCTGTGGCTGTGAGAGTATTTGTCCCATTTGAGAATAGGTGCCCCTTCTGTGTCCACAGAGAACTTTCCTGCCCTTGATTCTACTTCTCTGTAAGTGGGAAGGGAAGGACCTATTTCAAAACAAATCATTTTTTGTCATGCTTTTCTTCTGTCTCATCAGGACGGTGTCGAATTAGAAAGGAAAAATAAGTCCAGTTTTCTAAATGTCTTGAAAATTGTCAAAGCTTTAGTATGGCCGATCGTTTGCTCATTTGTTTTAATTTGAAGCAGTTGGGAATGGACTTGGGTGTTTGCTTCAATAAACTGTAGAAATGTAAGTGTTTAAATCAGTATGTGACATCGAATTTTGTAGATGCGTGTGATAGCAGAGGTGTGGCCCAAAGAGCAGAGATCTGGAGCAGCAAGTCCGTTCACATAGCATTCCCGTGGTATTGTTACTCCTCTTTGCGAGACCAGCATACTGAGTAGCACAAATCGGTTAGCGTTCCTTTCTAGTGACTTTCCTATAGATGCGAGCTGCAGAGCCCGTCTGATAGTTTATGGTGTTTAGTTATACCATTATGTGCACCGGGCTGCAGGATGCAGTGGCCTGTCCTTGTTTCAGTGTATCTGTGGTGGCCTGACTTACTCCTTGGAGTATGGGACCTGCTTGAAGAAATCGAGTTAGCTGGCTCACCCTGAGCCTTAAGGATAAGGATGAGCTGGAGGTGGGGAGTACAGGCGGCTACCATCTCATCCTCCCGGTGTCCCTGTGCCAGCCACCATATCCAAGTGCTGGAACATCCAGTCTTAGCAGCCACGGGGGGCGGTGGGGCGGGGGCCTGGCCTCCAGTCTGTGTGAAGAGGGTGGCCAGGTGGTGGCTGTGGACTGTTAGAGAAAACCTGATGCGGCTCCATGAACACCAGTAAACATGCTTCCCTTAGAGAAAGAAGTCGCTTGTGGAGGAGGGCCAGCCCTTACAAATGGGGAAGGGGAACTGGTTTTTTTAGAACCACTTGTTTCCTGGAGGCTGTGGCCAGGCTACCAACCCCTTCGTTTCTCAGGGGTCTATATTCCTTGACACTGGTTTCCTTCAGTCATCTCTGCTTTTCTTATAAAAAACTATTGGTAAATTGACTTTATATGGTGATGGTCTTTGAGTCACTTTCCTTGGATACCAGAAGAGATCTGTGTTTCCCCTATGTTTATTTTTAGGTACCTTTGTGTGTTATCCTTATCTCCAGGAACATTATGTTTCAGCAGACGAGGCAGGTGCCAGCCGTGTCCTCAGAAAGCCAAAGCTGCATTGGGCATGTTTTATGGTGGTGTATCTGAATGCCTAGACTGTTCCCAGAACCCGTCTGTGAGGGACGGTTGTTGCGTTTTGGGGATTTCTGCCTGTTAAAATACTAAGGCCTTGGCCTCCGTCTGGTCTCTCTCCTTTCTGCTGTGATGACGGTTCACCTTTGCCTCACAGCCAGTCTGGACTTTGTAGGCTCTTTCGCGTCTACCCAAGGGGTACAGAAAGATCTTACCTTCCCTTTGGGGAGCAGACAGAAGCCCACTCTTTGGCAGCACAAGACAAGAAGGGAGTTTGCGGCTGTGAATGAGGACATCTTCATCCTTCAATACTCTGCTCTTAGAGCTGTGAGGACCAGTTCCAAAATGGTGGTGGCAGCGAGCTGTGCCTCCAGGAAATATTTCCACAGACACACAAGATTGATTTAGCAAGCCTTTCTGGCTGTGCTCTGCAGTTATGCATGAAAAAGACATTTGGGGCAAAAACAGAACCGAGTTCCAGGTGTTTTTTTTCATGTTGTCACAACTGTAAAGTATCCATTTTTATAAAATGAAAGTGAATGGCAGCCCGTCTGTATAAACCTAATATTACCAAGGTTTGGAAGTGGTGCATTTGAGAAGTAGACGAATGGTATATAGCACTTCATTGAGGCTTGTGTGCCATGAGTGACTTTGTGACTTTTTATTGAAAACTTTACCAAGAAAATTACATCTCTTACTCGTCTCTTAAATGTGATTTCCATGCACATGAAGTCTGGAGTCACGCTGGCCGCAGTCAGTGGTGGGCCTTAGTTTTCTCATCAATAAAATATCTCAGAAAGTTGTTATAAGGAATAAATTATATAAAGCATATAGAGTGCCTAAGACCTCAAAGTTAGCTTTTGTCTTGATGAATAATTTCATACAATTATAGTTATGTAGCATGGGTATGTGGGATTTTTTTAGTCTCTTATTTTTTATACACGCTTCTATGTATCTGTTGTCTTGTTTATTTTTTTTTTAGTGGCCTCATGCTACTTCACAGTTAATATTCATTTACCCATTCTTCAATTCTTATGTATTTCTCTGTTGTAAAACAAAATCCTAATGCAAATGTCTTTGCACACAGCTTTGTTTCTCCCTGAATAAAGTTCTTGAGTCAGAGGATACAAATGTTTAGAAATGAGATCAGATGTATGTTACCAGATTGCCTTCCAAAGGGATTGAAGCAATCATATATTCCAAAGCAGTATGAATTTTCCATTAGATGGTATATGAGGTTTATTTTTTTCCTGAAACCTTATAAATACTGGTTTATCATTTTGCTAGTAGCTCTTAAGTGTCGCTTCATTGTGGAACCTAATTGCATGTTTTTAGTTATTAGTTGCTCCACCGTTTCTTTCCTCTTGTGTGATTTTTTTCATAGAATTTGATTTTTTTTCTTGATATTTGGAAGTTTATTTTAGAGATTTATGTATTAGAGATTGCTTTTTTTTAAATTGTGGCAGAATATACATAGGCATTAAACATTTGAAGTATGTAATTTAGTGGCATTAATTACATTCTCAGTGTTGTGCAACTGTCACCACCCCTATGCACTTCTAGAACTTTTTCATCTTCCCAAACTGAAACTCTGTACCATCTATCTATCCATCCATCTGTAGCTTATTTATTTATTTATTTTGAGAGAGAGAGAGAGAGAAAGAGAGAGAGAACACGAGAGTGTGGGGGAGGGGCAGAGAGAAAAGGAGATAGAGAATCCCAAGCTGTGTGGGCTTAATCCTCATGAACCATGTGATCATGACCTGAGACGAAATCAAGAATTGGCTCCTTACTAGACCAAACCACCCAAGAGCCCCTGAAACTTTGTACCCTTTAAACAGTATTTTTTTCCTTTCCATCTGCCCTCCAACACCAGTCATTGGTAACCTCTCTTCTACTCTCTTTAACAGTTTATTTATTCTAGGTACCTCATAGAAGTGGAACAATTTTTCCTTTTGTCTCTGGCTTATTTCACTTGTCATGTTTTCCAGATTCATCCATGTTGTAGCCATGTATCAGAATCTCATTCCTTTTTAAGGCTGAATAACATTCCACCGTATGTGAATGTCACATTTTATGTATCCATTCAGCTGTTGATGGACATACAATTGTGCCTACCCTTGGGCTAGTTTGAATAATATTGAATAATGCTGTTGTGAATAGGGGTGTACATGTATCTGTTTGAGTCCCGGCTTTCAATTCTTTTGGCCATAAACCTAGGAGTAGAGTTGATGGGTTTTATGTATGATAATTCTGTGTATCTTTTGGAGCATTCCTCAAACTATTTCATGGCAGATGCACCATTTTACATTTCTTCTAGCAATGAATGAGTGTTCCAGTTTTTCCGTATCCTTGCCAACACTTGTTTCCTGATTTTTTTTTTAATAGCCATCTTAATATATACGAAGTACTTAGGTATAAGTTTTATCTGTTACATTTATGATTGTAAGTTTACCTCCACGTATGGTTTTACATTTTTCTCTCATTTTCTGTGGCTTTTATAGAAGAGGAGATAGAAAATTTAAAAATAATTATGCCTGAACATTTTTTTTTTTTGAGAGAGAGAGCACGAGCGTGCGCGCGAGCACACAAGTGAACAAGGGGCAGAGAAAGAGAGAACGCACAGCGGGGCTCACCCAAAGTGGGGCTCATGTTCTACCTGAAGCAGGGCTTATGCTCACCTGAAGTGGGACTCCGGCTCATGAACCGTGAGATCACGGTGAGATCATGACCTGAGCCGAAGTCAGAGCTTAACCGACTGAGCCACCCAGGTGCGCCATGTTTTTCTAATGTCTCAAAGGGCTAGTCCTGCCCTATAACTGTTTCTCCATGATATTCTTTGGTAGTTTATACATTTTCAAAACAAATTTCAGACTTTGAGTTTTTAGAAACGTGGTGGGATGTAAATGGAAATTGGGTGAATTAGCCAGGAAAAGACTAAATTTTCCCATCAGGTAACATGGTATGGCTTTGTCCATTTACAAGTTTCTCTTCTTGTTTTTCATCTAATTTTTCTTCTTTTTTTCCATCTAATTTAGTTTTTCTTTCTATAAGCCTCACCCACCCTATGTCATGCTAATTATGAAAGGTTTTTCTAGTTTGGGTGCTCTTTTTTTATTTATTTTTTTTAATGTTTATTTAATGTTTGAGAGAAAGAGACAGAGTGCAAGTAGGGGAGAGGCAAAGAGAGAAGGAGACACAGAATCTGAAGCAGGCTCCAGGCTCTG